ATATATAAGCTGTAACTTTTTTGCAATCCAAAAACTGAGAAGGTCATTGCTTAAATGTCTTCATGATCAGTCCCACTACAAATAAAGAGTAGACTTTTCCCGCATTCCTGTACACAAAGACACCAACTCGACGCTTGGGTGGACAAATACAGTGACTTGTATGAAATTGTCTACCCGAGCCTCGTCAGTCATTTCTTTAAGTTTGCTCACTGGAGCGTAATAAACACGGCCTTGCCTGATTCAAGTAAAGGTCCAAGGTTGGCTAATTCACATGTTACAGTTTCCGTCGCGTGGCAATGAGAAGATGTTTTGTCTTCTCTTCGTCAGGGACCATTTGATTTGACTTGAACCATCTTCTGGCATTGTTTAGACTGTTGCAGTTTGCGCTGAAGATTATCGATGGAGTGATCGGAAGTCTATAACGAAAAAGAGGGCAAGAATCCTCCAGTTTCAGTTCGTGCTTTCTCAATTCCACGGACCTGACTATCTCGGAGCCTGGAACAGGCTAAATTTGCAGTGATATGGGTATCCCCGCGTTTTGGGCATCCTCATTCCCAAAACCCTAGTGATATGGGCATACCCTTCTCATATTACCTTAGCGATTTGAGTTAGGTTTACGCAGTTAGGGTTTCTGGGGATGCCCATATCACTAATATAGGGTTTTGGGAATGGGGATGCCCAAAACGTGGGGATGCCTATATCACCGGCAAGAAAACCATACCTGACGGGATAGGGCTTGTGTTCACACATAAGAACGCTGATTTCGGCGCGATTTCTGTATTAAAGGGATCGAGAAAAGCAGCGCCGCGCTGATCCGAAAAATGTCCGAAGTAGAAAACCAAATATCGGATGGGTGTTCATGCTATACCGCACAGCCTTTTCGTGTCGGCAGTTAGCCTCACGCCGTGGAAGGACTGATTCCAATGCAAGTTACTTGCAAACAGGCGTTGCTAGCGTCAGGATGGCGTAGACATGTTTGTGGAAGAGATTTTTTTTTCATGCGCCAACGGTTGAAAAGACACTGAAGACAGGAACGTCACAACGAAGGAACTCTAACATCTTTCAAGATTCAAGATTTTGGAAGGCCAAAATCCTGAATTCAAGGTTTTGGAAGAGGGGAATAACCCGGAGAGAAACTGGGGCCCGTTTCTCGAAAGTCCCGATAATTAACGGGCCCGGTAAGCTGTCTCCGTTTACATTAAAGATCGAGGTTTCAATAGTTTTGCATCTAACGCGACAAAACTGTCAGTTAATGAAACAAAATGCAGTAGTTTGCTAGCCAGGACCCGCGCTCTTATTCTTTACATTTCGATTTGAATATTTGATTGCGGGCCCGTTAAGTTAACGGGACTTTCGAGAAACGGGCCCCTGGTTCGGGAGAAATCCTAGTTCATACGACTGAAATATCAATACGAGGGATACGAAACATTCTACATCAAGGAACCTCCTATCTCTTCACAACTACTCGAACTAGATCGAACAAGCGCTAAGGCGAATTCTTCAACAAAACTCTTTGGAGTTTAATGGGAAAAAAACTACCTTCAAACACATGGTACCACCATGGGCACGAAAATGGCGGTCGCCTTTGCCAATATAGTAGGGAGCTTTAGCATCGACGACGGCAACGGCAGCGGCAGCGAAAACGTCAGTTTTAAAATGACTGAGTTCCCGTTTTTTCATTCTTTGTCGCGTTTATTCCAATTTGCTGAAAAAAGGCAAGTGTAGGCGAATTTCCCAGGAGTTGATTTCTTGAGGACCGCACTCAAGTTTAGAGAGAGAAAAAGAGATACGTCGTCGCTTGTTTACGTCCTCCATAAAACTTGCAATTAGGCATTTTCACGGCTTAGTCGTGCAAGGATGGTAAAGAAATGTACAAAAAAGCGTGATGCACGTGCAAAGTTGTTGTTTTGCGTAATAAACCTATCTCTTTTTTGACGTTTTGGTTGCCGTCGCCGTCGTCGTTGCTAAAGCTCCCTATTCATCTGAACAGGGGTAAGAGACTGAAATCCCAAAGCGCACTAAAACCGCTCCTTTGGAAACGCTATGTAGACAACATATTCTCGCTCGGGACCATAAAAACAGAGACAAAATAAAACAAATCATTGAACAATAATAATAAGCGAACAATCATCACCCAACAATCAAATTTAAGGCTGAAATTTCCGATACGGAAACAACATTCTTGGACACCTATATCTACAAAGACGCAATCCTTGATGTGCATACTCTTTTTAGTTCCTGTCACCGAAAAGTTCAAAAAACAGCTTTATTAATTGAGAAAGGAGAGGCCATGAGACTTCTCAGGACAAACTAAAAAAAATATTTGAAGAGATAATTGCAAACTTCAAATCACATCTGATAATTTTAATGAGAGGAAACTAGCACTTCAACAAAAACAAAAGAGAAACCTACGAATCTTGCCTTTTGTCACACAATACCAACCATCAGTGCCTAACCTAAATTCTTATGACAGGTTATGAGAAACTAGCAAGTAATTGAACAACAACCATCACAGAGCGCAATCTACAAAACTCCGCCTCTTATCGGCTTAGCCGGGAACCGGAACGGTCGAGATGTGTAGGCCTATCAACCCCATTTTACCAAATCTTGAATTCAGATAAGGATTAATTGGCCTTTCAAAATCTTGAATTCAGGATTTTGGCTTTCCAAATTAAAATCTTGAATTCAGGATTTTGGCCTTCCAAAATCTTGAATTCAGTATTTTGGAACTTGTGTGGTTCACTCCAACTCTAATCGCATGAACGCTAGTTACATAAATCTCTTGTTAATCGACCTGGCACCACTATAGCTGAAACTATCTTTATAGTAACTGGTGCGTGGTAAGGGAACAACAAGCTTATATCTCGGAATCACGAAGATTATAACACGTAACAATATCGCTGCGTTGCATAAATTTAGGTGATGACAAAAGAAATGTTCTGCTCACTCGTGGCCGAGATTGGTTTCAATGTGGTGTTTTTTAATAGTCTTCAGTATATTTCAGTATTTTTTAACCGACAGCAAGTAGGTTTCAATGGTACTTTTAACCGCTCGACAAAATACCGGCTCTTCAGGCAGAATTTGAGCTAGCTGGAAAAAAAAAAAACATTGGCTAATTAGCTGGCTGGGAAATCTGAATGAGTGCCTCGCTAGCTGAAAATGTGAAAAATTTGTGCCGGTTCTGGCTGGATAAAAAGGTATATTTTTTCTCCTGGCGATCGCACTTTAATTTTTTATATGGATATTAGAGCGGGCGAAGCAAGTAAGTGCGCTTGAAAATCACCCCACGCGAGCTGTACATGTGGAAATGACACCTTTTGCCTGTGAAAACGGAAATTTGTTTGGGTGTGT